CCCCAAAACCCCAAAACCCCTTATTCCAAATGAAAAAGGAATTATTCGTTGATAAAATAAATATATAAAATTAAATGAATTCAGAGTAACAGCTAGTATTTTCCTATGATCAAAATGATTCATAAATGTCATCTCATTAGCATAACCCCTTGATATCTACTCCACCAAACGATGAGAATGCATTTCATACCTAAAATTCTTTGAATCTTCCAACAAGTTTTCCCTCTTCATAAACCAATAGTTAATCTGAGAGGCAAACTCTACTGATTTAACAAAGTTAGCCACTGAATAAAACAGAATTGCTAAGATGGTTATCCTAGGAAATCAATATTTAAGTCAACAACATACAGAGAGTTTCTTCTGGTACTTTGATTATACTACTTTTTGTTAAGATATTTTAAAATGATGTTCAAACTCTATAAGCAATCCATAAATCTGCAAATATAAAAGCGAAGGCAGAGATAGAAAGTTTAACGAACTTTAAGTTCATCTTCAAACTTTTGTAGGAGTAGATTTCCTAAGCTGGAGTTAATTGGATAGGCTCTCTTAATGGAAAGCCAAGTGCTCAAGTTGACTTTATGAACAAATTAATCAAAGGTAAAGTTAACGAACTAGTAGAAATCCTTTAGATAGTCAAGAAGTTTTACGATGGGTTCAAACCAATCATAGTAAACAATAATAATCATGCCTAGTGCCAAAAAATTGTTACACAAATGTTTGATGATGCTTAAATTATGGGTATCGATAATAAGAAATCAGCTTTTTAAGACTCAACTAATTTTACTAGATCTCAATACTCAAGTAATGCTGGAGGATATCAATACAAATCTATAATTACTGATTACTCATAGTCAAACACCTAGAACAATTAAAGTAGCTGTAACAATGTATTATAATTTGAAAAACTTCTTACTAGATCTTACCAAGTTCAAAATGATTTGGAATCTCTAATCCAAGATAATTAAGAGCTTAGAAAGTTAAATGTTGTTTAATAGGTAAGAACGAAAGCAGCTGAAAAGGAAAGAGATTTTTACTTTGGCAAATTGAGAGATATTGAACTACTACTGACATAAGAGGAAGGATTAGCATAAAAGGAGCCTGAGGAGAGAATGAGGGCTATAGTAAAGATATTATATGCCAAAGAAGATGAAAATATAGAAGTAGATGAAGATGGAAATATAATTGTCTGAAGGAAAAAATAATATGTAATCTGTAAAGATAAAAACTTAAGCAGGTTCATTGAAGTTTGTTATCTAAAGTAAATTTCATTTTTAATTAATTATTTCTTCTTGAAATCATATCATTATTCTGAAATTGGGGTTTTGGGGTTTTGGGGTTTTGGGGTTTTGGGGTTTTGGGG